CGGTCTCTTCTCCCCAGGAACAAGCGATGGGACGAGAGGGAACGGCCTCAAGCTGCGCCAGGGCAGGGTTAGGTTGGATATTGGGAAAACTCCTTCCCCCAAAGGGCTGTCAGGCCCTGGCCCAGGCTGCCCAGGGCAGGGGCTGAGTCCCCATCCCTGGGGGGATTGAAAAGCCGGGGAGATGTGGTGCTGAGGGACATGGTTTAGTGGTGGGCTTGGCAGTGCTGGGTTAACGGCTGGACTCAATGGTCTCAGAGGTCCTTTCCAACCTTAATGGTTCTATGAAAAACATCTGTGTGTTATCAAGGCCACTTTAATCACAAACCCAAAACCCAGCCCCGTACAAGATGTTTAGAAAATTAACTCTGTCCCAGCCAACCCCAGTACAGTTACTTAGCCTGGAGAGTAGCTAGGATCAAAAAGCTGAGCCTAAGATCCGGCTTGAACATAAAACATTGCACAGGGCTTCATAGAGAGTTGTCCTGGGTGAGAAACCCAACGAGGGTGGTCGTGACAGCTCAGCGGCAGCAGTGTTTTGGTAAGATATCGGGGGGCAGGGGGGTTGGAAAGGAGCTTTTTTCAAATCTGAACTCATTCTGCGCCTGCGGTAGAGTCAGAAATGAGCTTTGTAAGCAGAGCATCAAAGCTCCCTAGTGAGAAGCTGCTGCTTGATCTGCTGCGTGGGGTCATCCACCGGGCTGGGTTTCTCTTTTCTTTTTAGACGAGGGGCCGGTTTCTGTCACCATCCCGGCCTCTCCCTTCATGCAGAAGCTTGGATCCGGCACCGGGGTCAACGTCTACTTGATGAAAAGGTATGTGTGAGAGCGCAGGCGCGACGCCGCGCTCGGGAACGGGGCTTGGCATCTTTTATTTCCTCTAAAATAATATAAGGGATGGGAAGTGATTGAGCTCTGAGCAAGAAAGCGCTGCCGCCACCGACCTTCCGTCGCTGCCCGCACGGAGTCGAGGCAGGGGCGTGGGATTTCCAGCTGTCCCGTGTGTGCGGGAGGTGTTGGTGCTGGGAAGGACCTCAGCGTTTTGGGATAACGTTCCCTGGCCTGGAATTCAGGCATTTGGGGTCCGCCCCTGGCTCTGCTTTGGCCTGCTGGGCGAGGTGCTTCCCTCCCCGAGCCTCAGCTCCTCCGCCTGAAAACGAGAATCGATGCAATCTCCTTTTTTAAACTGCTTGAAAATTCGATGGAGGAGCGCTCTGTATGGGCGAAGCGTTGCTACGCGCCTCTGCGGTGTGCACGTTAGCAAGCTGCAGTTTGGTTTAGCGTTGTTCTTTATTAATTCTACCAAATAAAGGCAGACGCTCTGCGGAACAGCTCCTCGGCGACCTGTGTGAGCTTTAACCGTGGCGCCGCTTACAAACAGAGCGGCTCTGAGATGAGACGTGTGACTCTTCCCATGCAGATCTCCCAGAGGTTTGTCTCGCTCCCCTTGGGCTGTGAAGAAAATTGTTTCCAAACAGAAGAGCAGCCAGCAAAGCATCTATCAGGAGAGACTGAACGAAGAAGCCAAAATCTTGAAAAACCTCCAGCACCCAAACATCGTGGGTGAGTTTCCAGCACAGCCTGCGTTGCTTCAATTGCAAATCGAGCTGTTGAAGCCGATTTTGGAGCCAGCTGATGGGACCAGAGGCTGCTGCTGGGCTTTTTTGTGTTCCTCTCGCCCCGATGGCTGTGGGTTCCCGATGTCCCCATCTGGCTCTGGAAGTCTGGAGCCCCTGGAGTGTGATGGGACACACGGCGGGGGGAGGATCGCTGCATGCTTGACCTTCGGAGGCAGGTTGCTGGGCTGCCCGCGCCTTTGGTCAGGCCCACCGTGGGCTTGATTAAATTAATTTAGTCTTGCCCTGCATGATGGGGACTTGGAAGCGCTCCTGGACCGCTGGGGCGGCTGGTTCTGGAGAAACGGCCGCCCGCCCCAGCGCTGCGCCAGCACGCAGCTCTAGCTTAGGGCCTGAGGGAAGGGAGGGACCCCCGTGAGGTTGCAGGGGACGGGCGATACCTTAGCAATAGCTGGGGTGGCTTCTGCCTATGGAATAAGGCTCCGGCTCCCGCCCTGGTGACGCACCTTTGTGAGTGACGATCCAGGCTCTTGGCTCTCTGCTAGGAATATTTTGAGAAGCCGCTTTAGTCTGCGTTTCATTTCTGCTCTTATCTTGTCAAAAATCTCTCCCGCCGGGCAGAACAGCAGCTTTGTTTGACTTTATCCTTTCATTTGTGCCTGAAACTACCTCAGGGCGGTCGCTTGTATTAGAAACGCTGTGTGCGAAGAACTTTGTATCCCTAAAACGGCACATCTTGCTTCTGGCAGGAATTTAAGAGCAAAGACAGCCTCAACATCTCACATTGCAAACATTTCACTGCTTTTTTTTGGAAAAGGTGCTTTAAATCATTAACAGGATAAGTCTTTGGCTATGCTGTTACGCAAGACTTTGCCATTTCTAACCCCACCTGAAGAGCAGTGTTTACAGCTGGGAGTAAAACGTGGAGGAAGAAGGATTACGTGAGCGTTAGTCTTAGCCTTGTGGAATGGCCCTTGTGAGACGAGGGCTTGGCTTTCCCAAAGCTCCTTCTGCTCGGGGCCGCGCAGGTCTCCGCGGGCATTCCCGTGCCTTCACCTCGCCCCGGAAAGCGCGAGCCAGGTCCCCCCCGGGATGTGAATTTGCTTGGGGTTGGTTGCAGCCTCCGGGAGAGCACCTGGGTAGCAGCCCCAAACGCTCGGGTTGCATCGGGCCGGCAAGCACGCGGAAACGCCGGCGCCTGCTTCGGCTCTCGAACAAATCAATCTTTGTTGGCAGGTTACCGTGCGTTCACCGAAGCCAGCGATGGAAGCATGTGTCTGGCCATGGAGTACGGAGGAGAAAAATCTCTCAATAACTTAATTGATCTGAGAAGTGAAAACCGGTTGGGCCCTTTCCCTGCTGCCACGATTTTCAAAGTTGCCTTGCACATGGCGAGGGGGCTGAAGGTATGTTTAACGTTAACCGTAGCTGTTCTGCGTGGAATCGGACACGCTGGTGACGCTGGAAAAATAAAGGAATTTGGGGTGTGAGAAGGCCGTGCTGGCAGCTGGAGAGCAGATGCTGGGACGCTCCGGGGAAGGCCTTGGTGGTATTTTTTTTTACCGGGGTGCTGTACAGACTCAGGTAAAAACTGAGCCCTGAAGCTTGAAGTAATATGAAAAGAGACGCAACAGGGGTTTTGTCACAAATATCCTGCTGCCCTCCCCTGTGGCTACCTGCTGTCCCTCCTTGCTAGCCAGCCAGGAGGCTGGCTGCTGGATCCTTCTCGCTGGTCTTGGCAGCGCAGACGGTTAGCCGATGCCCGCGGCTGCCAGCTGGTGCCGCTTGCGTTCCTCCTCTCGCCGAGCCACGGCAGCCGCCGTGCTAAGGTTGTGTTTAGGGGGGAAAAGCAGGGAAAAGGAGACTCAGCAGGGCTCTGTCTAAACCACAGCACGGCTTCTGAGCCTCCCCCCGCAATGCCGGCTGTCCCGGCCGTGAGTCCTGTGCGATTGCTGCCGAGGAGACGTGACTCTGAGCTCCCGGGATGCCTGCTTGGCCATCAGCTTCGCACCCGCTCGTTGCTGGAGGCGCTTCTCACCGTCTTTCACTTAAAAGGCAACCGTAAGCCTCCAAAACTGGGCTGGGTGGAACACCCTGCCCTGCATTTCGTACGTGGTACAGGTAGGTGGTGACCCATCCTCGAGGTTTTAAGGCTAAATACGTTAAAAGTTGAGAAATTGGTGCTTTTTGTCCGACTCCGATGGCTCCTCCTGCCTCTCCATCACTGTATCTGTAAGCGGGTGTTAACGGCTCCTCTCTGCCTCTTAGTATCTTCACAACGACAAGAAGCTGCTCCACGGAGATATCAAATCTTCAAATGTGGTCATTAAAGGCGATTTTGAAGCCATCAAGATCTGTGACGTGGGAATGTCCCTGCCCCTGGATGAGAACATGACCGGTAAGTCGGGCGGCGGGAAGGGGACCCAAACGCTTGGCGGCTGCCGGGATTTGGCACATTTACCCTCCCGCGGCCTCGGAGGGAAGGACCGGCGAGCGGTTTGCTCCGTGCGGGGGTGAAGGGGATCTCCGGAAGGTCCGGCTTTAATTCCCCAAACCTGTGACATCTCGTACGTTCGCTCCCGCGGGCAGGAGCGCCGCTGTGCGCGGGGCACTGGATCAGGCCCCGCCGGACCACGCCGAGGAGAGATGCTCTCGCCAGAGCGCGAAGTAAACGCATCCTTCTCGTAGGGCGAGAAAGAAGCGCGAGCCAAAGGCAAGCGTTATAAAGCCTGCGTGTAAACGAGAAGCAGATGTCTAATGGCGTCGCGGCTTTGCTTGGACA